TTTTACCACAGGAAGTGTTCACAGCATCTCCCAACTAACTGTGGCAGGAAAACACTGACTGCAACAAAATGCTCTTATCACGCTTTTCCCCTGTGCAAAGCCATCGAGCATCACTTCAAACTCCAGGGCCTAAAGCAGGGGACTGTTGAATGAAAAAAAAAATATGTTCCCCTTCTGCAAAGAGAGACAGCATCCTTGCTCATCAGCCTCCCTTCCTGCAGGCTTCTGCCTTGCCTGCTCAGTGCCCATCTCCCAGAAGGAGACGGTCACTGAACCGCATTGAGGAAGGATGCAGTAGAGTTTCTGTCCTTCTTCACGGTCAGACAGCGGGCTCTGATGGATGTGGCACACCAATTTGAAACTAAGACCCTAGCTGAGCGATAAGCTTGGAGGTTTGGTGCAAGGATCCAAATAAGAGCAGCCTGTCACAGAAGAGATAAGCAGCTGAGCTGTCAGAGCACCTTGAAAACAAATCAGGGAGCAGCATCAGGAGTGAGCACCAAGATAAAACAGGGCATCCTTGTCTCCTGGTGCGGTGGCTAAGGCAACGGAGATGGAGAGGTTTAAAAGTTTACCAAAGACAATACTTTATAAACAGGGAAATTCTGGAGAGGGCATGAGGCCCAAGCTCTTGGTCACAACAAACAACACAAGTGATATCGAGTCAGAGAAAATCTGTTGAGTGTCCTCTCTCCAGCACTGCCCCACAGCACATGTTTAAGAAAACTGCAGGAGGAGGGGGGAAAAAGGCAATACAAAGTGATCTTTTCTTGTTCAAAAATAGTAAGTCCCATCTTCACTTCTCATCCTCTGAGCTACTGCACAACCCTTGCACTAGCCCTGAAGAGGCTGTTCTGCAAGGAGGGGATATAAAACCTCCAAATGGAGCCATGTCCAGAGTCAGAGGAGCAGCCTACACACAAGCCCTTCTTAGGCATGCCAAAATGCCCAGACAGGTTGGCCATTTTCTCACCCCACTGGTTATTTACTGGTTTTAACCCAAATTGTTCAGCTGAGTTCAATGCACCTGATTCTCACTACTGTGCACCAGGGAAGAACGAGGCTTAGCTGCATGCAGAAATATAGCCAGGTGAATATACAGCATTTATTTACAAGGCACATAGGACCTTCCTGTTGTTTGGGTCTTTTTGTTTTCTTTTGTTCTGCTCACACCAGAGAAAGATGATATGATAAGAAGATGAATCACTGGTACAGCCCATGAGCACTGCTACAAGCACAGGTCACTTTAAATACATACAGCAGCCTCTATAGAGGCTGTAGGACAGGGACGTTGTGGCTGGACTTTTTGGGCTATTCCCAGACCTCTCGGCAACCTTGTTCTCAGGCTGTGCAAACAGCAGCGTTACTAACACAGCTCCTGGAAGGGCAGTGTCAGAAATGTGCAGAGCCACCTCACCCTCCATGCTTTGCAGAGGGCAGACATCAGGACAACATAGAAGAGGTGGGGTATAAAACCCTCAAAGAGCTGCAAGAATAAATTTCAGCGTGCAAAGCAGTAAAATCCTGCTCGCAATGGGATCTGGGTTATTTTGTAGAGGCATCTGCAGGGTAGAGCATAATACAAAGGCTTTTCTTACACAACTTATTAAAGCACTGCTAATAATACACCGCAAGCCTGATCTGAAATAACCCTTGCTATTTCAGGTCTGGCTTTCTCTAGTACTGTGCCATCCTCTGTACCCGTGCTGCGGCAGATAATCCTCACATGAAGAGACTGGGCTTAAAATGTCAGGAATCCAACACAGAGCCTGAGAAGAAATAGAAGACCAGTATTTACTGCTGTCCTGAGAGCCACGCTCCTCGCACACGACTCATCTGAATGCTTCCTACGTGCCACCGCTAACCCTGCTGCTACCCTGCTTCTTTCACGATCTACAAACAGGATTCAAGCTCCAAAGCCACTGATGCTTTCAAACATTTTATTCTTAAAACCAGCTGGTTTTGCACCAAGAAAGACAAAAGGTGAATCTCTCAGACACTTAGATCAGTGCTTTTGGAAATCCTTCCCTGGCTGGGAAATTGCCTTTTTCCAATAGGGGTGCAGAGCACCCCTGGCACAGCACCAAGCTGAAGAGCAGCCACTGCCACCGGTGTGCTGTGACCTGGGGGTTTTAGCTGAAGGCTGGCATTTCAAAGACACATGAGAATACAGTGAACAACTCCTGAGTCATTCTTAGGTAAAAAGATGTCCTGCAACGTTGTGTGGCCCCGTGACATTCTCCTTTCCACCTCCTCAGGACACAGGGCTGTTGTAAAAAAGGGAAGTCTTCCAGTGAATCTTACTGTTTGAATGCAATTTCTTTTTCCCCTGATGCGTATCAGAAATTTAGTCTTTTGCACCCTGTAGAGCCTCCAGATGATGGCAAAACTGAATTTCAGGCAGTTTGAAGAGTTATAGTTTAATCTGAGAAAATACTGCCTGTTTCCACAACTGTATACACCGCATCTTCTGAGTGCAGGCACTTAACTTGCATTTGTTTTTTCAGCCTCTGAGATATAAAAGTTTTGGGATGTGCAGGGGTAAACTGCTTCAGTATTTACACTTTCATAGTGCTGAGGTTCAGAATCCCTGCAGTGTGCTTCTCAGCCCCAGGCCAGGCAGCATCCCCTCCCAAAGGACACGAAACCTGGGACGCAAGGTCCAGCGTGCTTTTACTGATCAATGAGTATTTATTTATCAATGAGTATTCCTTTGTTAATGAGTATTATTTTGCTTATGATAAAAAATACACAAGCAAACACGGTGTGAATGACCTTGGTGAGAGTGACATTGGCATCTAAGTGACGTTGACGGTCCAGAAAGCTGTTTTGGCTGACCACAGGTCTTGTTTCTGCAAGGCAGCATAACTCTAAAATGCACCCAGGAGTTTTTTGAGCTGTTTCTATCACTGCCCTCATCACCAGACTACCTGAGGGCCTTCAGGTCTTGTATTAAGCAACATGACAAGCATTCTGAAGAGGAGAATGTAAGTGCAGTAAATTGCTTTCATAGGGCTTCGGTTTTCCCTGTCTGGGCTGTTGAGTCTGGGAAGGGAAGCAAAGTGAAAGAAGCATTTCTAATGAAAAGAGGAAAAAAGGATGAGTTTTCTGTGATGGTATCTGGTTTCCGTGGAAAGTTATTCTAGAGCCTCAGCTTGGGTGATCTTTGATTTTGGAAGTAAAAAGTCCCAGGACCATCAAGGAATGCAACTGTCAAACTTAATCCACTCCTAAGACATTTCCACAGGTATTAGCCCAAGTGCTGGAGCAACCCAGAAGACTTCAAGCCTGACTTGCACCTCTATGGAAAGCCAGTGCAGAGAGAAGATGAGTGTGATGGACTTGCATAACTCACATCACGCCGCAGCATCCAGCATTGGCTGCATTTTCCTGAGGGCTGATGGCTTCATGCCCAGACACTGTACGTTTCATTATGATAAAAAAACCCACTCAATTAAAGAGCTCACTCCTGCAGCCTGTATTTTCAAAACAACAATTGTATAAATGGTCCTACAGCTGACAGCAAGAAGGCTTGTGTAAGGAAGGACAGACCCTTTGAGGAAAAGTGGGATGAACAGACCAAGCTAAACAAGCACATGTAACCCAGCAGAAGTGTGGGTTCAGTATGGGTAGTAGTACTTTCCCCTAAATAGAACCCAACTTTCTCCACTGAAGCAATAAAAATACATAAAATAGAGACAACTGCAGGTTCTTATGGAAATTTTCTCCCAAGCACAGCTCTCCTACTTCCTTCTCTGAAGCAGATTTTGAAGCGTTTTGAAAAGTAAGCCAGTCTGCAGCACTTTCCCTGATTGGGAATATTGTTTTTAAATCGCTTACTGCAGGTTCCTGCTCCTCTGGTACAGCACAGGGGACAAAGCATCAGCAGTTTCCGTGCCTCTGCGGGAGGACAACCACTGAGGACAGGCTGCCTGCCTTCAGCTCTGCTCTCCTCCTGCCTGTATCAGCTGGTGTTGCACTGGTTGCCTGCAGTGCTTGTGCACTCGCCTGTAACGCAGCCGGGTGTTTTTGGCTTTCCTTCCACGAGCTTGGGAAGCTTCTGGTGAAACAACACTGGGGGCCAGACACTTGGAGGGAATAGAATATGGGGACAGAGAAGGAATATCCCAACAGCAGCCCCTCCTGCACTGCTCCCCATCACTGGAGGAGGCTTCAGATCACCTTGGCAACTCTCCACTGTGAGGATGCACATCAAGAATTAAGTGTGAAATCTCTGCAGTAGACCAGAGGAAAACTGTCTCAAATCCATATGGATGGTGTTTCAAGTTAACTCTTCTCACAAATCAGAAAGGAAATAAGCCATTCATCATTTTCTCCTTCCAAATGAACAAAGATCAATCACTACTAGCAGGCCTGTAACAACAGCTGGGGAAGACAAAAAAGCCAAGTACTGGGCCAAGGTTGGGGATGCGGGGAGTAGGTCAAACAGGACAGAACAAGACTCTATCCTTCAACTGGACCAGGGCAGAGTGGCCTCAGATAAAGCTTTAACTGAGTGACTTGAAGCTTTCCCCAGCCCCTCTCTCCCACCTCTGGCTGTGGCTGCCAGAGTGTGTTCCTGCCAGCTGTTTCCCTTTCTTGTAAGACCACCAAAACCCTGGCAGTGATGACAAGATTATGTACCCACACCTGATGGCACCAGTTCAGATGGACACTCAGACAAGTATTTATCTAAGCACATGCTTAACTCCATCCCTATTTAGCAAAGTACTTACGTATAGACACAAATTTATGTCTCTATGGCTACAAGAGACGTAAGCCTGTCGTTAACTTTTTTTTTTCTCAATCAGGGCTTATGTGCCATTCTTAGTCACAGGACGATGCTCTGCATATGTGGCCTTCTACTTTTCTCCTCTGCTTCTCAGACTCTCCTCTGACCTCACCATGCAGGAGCCAGAGTGATCCGCAGCGAGTTGGCAGCGCAGAGCTGGGGCAGAGGAGAGCACGGTGGAGAGAGCAAAAGGCAAAGCAAGACTTACGTTGGCTTTGAGGCTTCCGCCTGGTCTGTTTGCAGTTTCTCCCCACCTTCGACTTCCATGGTGCAGTACACAATGCGGTTGGGGGCCAGTGACTTCAGACCCTGCACCTCCATGATGACAACCTGTGGAGCAAAGGAAGAGGAGTGTAAGAGGAGCAGCCTCCTTCAGGTCTCGCTACACCAGCGAAAGAAATGTAGGAAAATCAATAAGACCCTGAACATAGAATCACAGAATAGAATCATAGAATCGTTTTGGTTGGAAAAGACCTTTAACATCATCAAGTCCAACCATAAACCAGACACTGCCAAGTCCACCTCTAAACCATGTACCTAAGCACCATATCTACATGTCTTTTAAATAGCTCCAGGGATGGTGACTCAACCACTTCCCTAAGCAGCCTGTTCCAATGCTTGACAACCCTTTTGGTGAAGAATTTTTTTCTAGTATACAATCTAAACCTCCCCTGGTGCAATGTGAGGCCATTTCCTCTTGTCCTATTGCTTGTTACTTGAGAGAAGAGACCGAGACCCACCTCTCTACACCCTCCTTTCAGGTAGTTGCAGAGAGCAAGTAATGGGATGGTGGCAGGTGAGCAGGGATGGTGGCAGGGGAGCAGGGATGGTGG